CCATCCCCGGGGGTCCCGAGACCCCCGAGCCCCCCCCGGATCCATTCCCGGGGGTCCCAGTGACCCCCGTGCCCCCCCCCAGATCCATTCCCGGTGGTCCCGGTGACCCCCGGGACCCCCCTCCGCCGCTTTACCGAGACCCCCGGTGCCCCCACCCCCGGTACCACCCCAGCGCCCCCCGGTGTCCCCAGCCCCTCTGGGATCCCTCCCGGTGCCCCCAAACCGCTCCCGGTGCCCCCCCCGCCCCTCCCGGTGCCCCCCCGGTCCCGCCCAAGCCCCCCCCGGTATTCCCGGTACCCCCCAGCCCCCTCCCGGCACCAGCCCACCCACACCCGGTGCCCGCACGGTCCCTCCCCATCCCCTCCCCGGGCCCCCCCCGGTGCCCCACCCGGGCCTGCCCCCGGTGCCGTCCCCCCCTCACCGTGTCCGCGTTGCGCTCGTTCCCCGCCGCCAGGGCGGAGCGCGAGGACATGGTCCCGGCCCGGGGGGCACCGGGGGGCACCGGGAGGGGCGGTCCCGTTGCCGGGGGTCCCGTTCCCGGGGGGCTCCCGTTACCGGGGGGGGCGGAGGGGCCGGGCCATGGCGGCCATGGCGCCGGAACCGGAACCGGGGCGCGCCGGGGGCGGGGCCAAACCCATATAAGGAGCGTGGCGGGCGGGTTGGCCCCGCCCACGACGCGGAGCGGACCAATCAGAACGCGCCGCCCGAGCATGGAGACAGCTGGACTCGCCCTGGGAGGGGGCGTGGCCGAGCGCGGGCGGCGCGTTGTGATTGGCTCAGCGCCGGCCAATGGGAGGAGAGAGCCGGGTTTAACCCGCGAGTGACCGGGGAGGGGCCACGTGGGTCGCGAGGTCACGTGGGAGAGCACGTGTCCCCTCCCTGTCACACCCGGGGTCCCCAGTGTCACCCGTGGGGTCCCCAGTGTCACCCGTGTCCCCTCCCTGTCACACCCGGGGTCCCCAGTGTCACCCGTGGGGTCCCCAGTGTCACCCGTGTCACCTCCCGTGACACACCTGGGGTCCCCAGTGTCACCCATGTCCCCTCCCGTGACACACCTGGGGTCCCCAGTGTCACCCGTGGGGTCCCCAGTGTCACCCGTGTCCCCTCCCGGTCACACCTGGGATCCCCCGTGTCACCCGTGTCCCCTCCCGTGTCCCCTCCCTGTCACACCCGGGGTCCCCCGTGTCACCCATGTCCCCTCCCGTGTCACCCGTGTCCCCTCCCGGTCACACCCGGGGTCCCCAGTGTCACCCGTGTCCCCTCCCGGTCACACCTGGGATCCCCCGTGTCACCCGTGTCCCCTCCCGTGTCCCCTCCCTGTCCCCCCCGGGGTCCCCCGTGTCACCCATGTCCCCTCCCGTGGCACCCGTGTCCCCTCCCGGTCACACCCGGGGTCCCCAGTGTCACCCGTGTCCCCTCCCGGCCACACCCGAGGTCCCCAGTGTCACCCGTGTCCCCTCCCGGCCACACCCGAGGTCCCCAGTGTCACCCGTGTCCCCTCCCTGTCACACCTGGGGTCTCCTGTGTCACACGCGTCCCCTCCCTGTCAACCACAGGGTCACTTGTAGGGTCTCCAGTGCCACCCGTGGGGTCCCCAATGCCACCCATGTCCTGTCCCCGTGTCCCCCAATGTCACTGCGTCCTGTCCCCATGTCCCCCAGTGTCACCGCGTCCTGTCCCCGTGTCCCCCAATGTCACCGCGTCCGGTCCCCGTGTCCCCCAGTGCCACCGCGTCCTGTCCCCGTGTCCCCCAGTGTCACCGCGTCCTGTCCCCGTGTCCCCCAGTGTCACCGCGTCCTGTCCCTGCGCCATCCCCGTGTCCCCCAGTGTCACCGCGCTCCCCTCCCGGTGCTCTTGGGTCGCCTGTGTCACCCACGGGGTCCCCTCCCGGTGTCCCCAGAGTCCCCTCCGGTATCCCCGGTGTCCCCAGGGTCCCATCCCGGTGTCCCCAAGGTCCCCTCCCTGTGTTCCCCGTCTCCCCAGGGTCCCATCCCGGTGTCCCCGGTGTCCCCAGGGTCCCCTCCCGGTGTCCCCGATGTCCCCGGTGTCCCCCACCCCCGCCGCCAGGTCCGCCCGTTCCCCCCGCCCCGTCCCGGTGCCCGAGCGGAACCGGGGCTGACCCTGCCCGGCCGGGGAGGCCCCACCGGGGCGGCGCTTCCTCAGGAAACCCCCGGCCAGCGCCAGTGTCACCGCAGCCACCGCCAGTGTCACCGCAGCCACCGCCAGTGTCACCGCAGCCACCGCCGGTGTCACAGCCGCTACCGCCGGTGTCACCGCAGCCACCGCCGGTGTCACCGCAGCCACCGCCGGTGTCACAGCCGCTACCGCCGGTGTCACCGCAGCCACCGCCGGTGTCACCGCAGCCACCGCCGGTGTCACCGCAGCCACCGCCAGTGTCACCACCGCCACCGCCAGTGTCACCACCGCCACCGCCGGTGCCACCGCCGCCACCGCTTCCAGCGCCGCCGGTGCCGCCGGTGCCGCCGCCGCGGGGACCGCGCCGGTCCCGGGGGGCTCCGCGCGCCCTCGTGTCGCGTCCCCGCCGTGTCCCCTCGCCCTCCGGGTGCCAGCCCGGTGGCCCCCCGTGGCCCCCGGCGATGCCGCTGCTCCGGAGACCCCCGGGGGGGGCGGCGGGGGGCGGCCAGGAGGACGGGGACCCCTTCGCCACCAACCCCGAGAGCCGGCGGCGGCGCCGCGCCACCCTGGGGGGGCTGGTGGGGCTGGGGGGACAGCTGGGGGGACACCTGGGACACCTGGGGGGACAGCTGGGGCAGCTGGGGGGACCCTTCGGCCGCGCCCGCCGCCCCCGAGACCCCGCCGGGCCCCGCGGCCGCCGCCGCTCCGAGGACTCGGGGGTCCCGCGGAGACCCCCGGAGGAGGCGGGCGGGGGCAAGCGGGGGTCGCTGCTGCGGCTGGCCCTGGGGACCTGGGGACAGCGGGGCACCGAGAAGGTGTCGCCGGTGGAGGGACAGGCGGGGGACAGCGCGGACGGAGCGGGACAGCGGCCGGAGAGCGGCGGGAAGGACAAGGACGGCAACCGGGAGCCGCTGTCGGGTGAGTGGGGACAGCGGGGGACACCAGAGGGACAAGGAGGGGGGCTCGGGGACACCGAGGGGGTGAGGGGGGGTTGGGGATGGGGACAGAGGCCTCAGGGACGCGGGGACGGTGACAAGGGACGAGGGGATGGGGACTTTGGGAGATGGGACGTGGGGACAGGGATGGGGACAGGGACTTGTGGCTACGGGGACACGAGAGTGGCGACTTCGGGACGCGGGATGGAGCTGCTGGCTGGGGACGGGGGACACGGGGACAGGGGGCCAGACAGGGGGACATGGGGACAGGGGGACTGACAGGGGGACATGGGGACAGGGGGACTGACAGGGGGACAGAGACACGGGGACGGG